CTAAATCTTAGGGCCTTTGCAGACTGCCAGAAATAGTGCAAATTGAATCCACTTTAAGGGTTAGGGTTAGAGTTAGGGAATCATGGAAGCTGTATTTTATTGTGGCACCAGAGCTCTCTGACAGAGAAGGCTCAATGTCTCAGAAAAAAAACCAATTCCCATGACTCCCTAGCACTAACTCTAACCCTAAAAGCGGACTCAATTTGCACTATTTCTGGCAGTCTGCAAAGGCCCTTAGATTCAAATTACAAATTTCACCCTTGCACTTTATTTATACTACTTTATTTATATATAGATAACAATATGATAGAAGAGGTTCACAAAAGCGGAACAAAAAACAAAGCCACCACCACACTCCTATTGAATCAGACAGCAACCTGACAAAAATAGAAGATTGTTGTGATTATGATTTCTACCTTTTTTGCAGGGTAGATGTAGCCATCCTATACAATTTTAGCTCTTTGATACCACATCAGCTTCCCTGGCTCCAGCCTATGGAATGTTGGGATTGGTAGCTTTGTTAAGTATTTAGCATTCACTGCCATAGACCTCTAATGCTTTAGTTCAGGGGAGTGAACAAGACAGGTCTCACTACTTTATTAAATTACAAATCCTAGTATTCCATAGGATGGAGCCATGACACTTAAGTGTAATCAAACTGCTATAATTATACAATGTGGATGATGAGGATGATGATGATGATGATGATGATGATGATAATAATAATAATAATAGTTTTTATTTGTATTTTCCCACTTCTCCCTGTGGATCGAGGTGGGATTACAGATAAATATAGAAAAATACAATATATAAAATCATAACAACAATAAAAAACCCACAATCCATATAATAAAATCCAATACTCAATCATGTGCACAGATTGGTCGTCGGCTTCACATATCCAGGATACATTGCTGTAGGGCTGCAAAGGGAAGAGTCTGAAGAGCAGGACCTCAAACCATGGTGTATGTGTGGACTAAAACAAGGAGCAATGGTGAAATTATGTCAGAGCTAATATTTATGAAGCCAAATTCTGATCTTGTACAGTCAGCCCTCCATATCCACAGATTCTTTATCCACAGAATCAGCCATTCATGGCTTGACTTTTTTTTTAATAAATTCCCAAAAGTGAACCTTGATTTTGCCATTTTATATAAGGGACACCATTTTATTAAGTCTTTGTATTTAATGGGACTTGAGGATCCACGGATTTTGGAGTCCATGGCAAATCCTGGAACCAAACCCCAGCAGATACTAAGGGCCCACTGTATAAGAATTAAGCTATGCTCTGTTCAGGGGATCTTATTCCCAAATAAGTGGGGCTCACAGATGTTGTTAATTCATAGGGTCATCATAAGTCAAAGACAACTTGATGGTAAACAGCAAAAGTATAATTAGGATTGCAAAGTTGCTGGACAAGTTTTCCTGTAGATTGTGTACATGGTTCTCTGGGGGCAACACATTAAGAAGACAAATGGAAAGGACTTCCAAGAAAGCAAGGAAGATGGTCAATGCAGTATCATTGCTGACTGAGAAATTGTGACTGAGAGGGTCAATTTTCCAGCCTCTGTCTGGAAACACTCTTAGACTATGGCTGGCAGAATGCATGAGAGATCTGAGAAGCTGGTTTTAAAACATATAATTTATGAGCTTGTCAGTTAAAATGTCACTATGGAGTCCAATGGAAAATTACTTTAGAGATGACAAAATGAGGGGTTAACACAGTCAGTCACCCCTCTTCCTGTCTACTTGCCTACTTTGCCTACTCAGCTCACTAATGTTTTATGCAAACAAAACAGGGAGTCTAACAAACGATTGTGAATGCAATGAGTCTTTTGTTTGGCTCAAGTATACCTCAGTATGTATGTGTGGGGTTTCCACATTTCCTAATGTGGGACAGAACTTGGATTCATGCATAGAACTCCATGCATATGACATGTCAGCTGTTCTGTCTGCAGCCTTGTTGAGCTCTAATGCTGTCCTTCAGGGAGTGCACTAGAGCTCTCTAACAGAGATCCAGGGTACATACATTTTATGCCATTATAGCAGTTTTATATTACCGTACTTTTAACTGCCCTGGATCCATCCTAATGAATTCTAGGATTTGTAGTTTGGTAAAGGACTTAGAATTATCTGTCCAAGAGTGCTAGTGCTGTAATTAATGTTCAACAGAATCTTGAACATAACCTTACCAAACAACAAACCCAGGATTTAAGTAAATAGCTATGACATTGTAGCAATGTGTCCCATGAAAGAACTCAGCCAAATGTTTTAAAAGATCCATTCAAAAGAGTCTTGTGTCACCATATTTCAGTGGCTTTCTTTAAATATACCCCAATCAGCCCATTTTGGTTCTGCCAAGTATTCCATGTTTCTAGTGCACTAAAATACATAAAGAATATAAACATCACCAGGTAAGGTTTGCCTTGATCATTTTGTCAATACAAATAAAGAAATTAACAAATCCAACACTCCTAGCAACCAATTATACTGTGCAATGCCATTAATTAAAAATGCTAGGAAAACATCTGTAAATGTTTCATTTTACTCAGTTTGCATTCTTTCTGGGGCCTGAGGTTTGTTCAGGGGTGTGAATAGCCTGGGACATGGTAACAGAAGGCCTAAGCAGACTGCCAGAAATAGTGCACATTAAATTGAGGCACTGCCCTGGCTCAGTGCTAGGGAGTCATGGGAATTGTATTTTTTTCTGGGACATTGAGCCTTCTCTGTCAGAGAGCTCTGGTGCCACAATAAATTACAGTTCCCATGATTCCCTAGCACTGAGCCAGGGCAGTGCCTCAATTTAATGTGCACTATTTCTGGCAGTCTGCAAAGACCCAGAGTTAATTTGAAAATTCATTTATTGAGGAATACTGTGCTTAATTAGACCAAAAGTACATCAGCTCTGGCTTTATGTTATCAAAGGTCCCCTAAGGAAATTCATGGAGATGACATGAGATTAGCACCCAGCATCCAGCCATCAGAACTACTTCATCATATTGGCTTACCTTAGTAAACATTAATGTATAGACCAGTTTTCCATGAATTGGTTTAAATATTGTTATTAAATTTAACAACTAATTTGCTAAATGTCACTATTTAGCATGATGGGGAATTCTACAAATTTTGTGCATTGTGCAAGTTTGTATTTATTTAATCCAAGAGAAGGAATCATGACTTTTCAGATGTTATTGGATTGCAGAGCCCAGCAACCTTAAACAGTGTAGCCATTGATCAGGAGTGCTGGGAGACTAGCAATTGGATTATATCCAATATGTACACTTTGAGAGCTAATCACAAAATTCAGAACTTTTAGCCGATCAATCATCTGTCTTTTAAATTTAAATAAGCATACATGGTATCACAATCTCAGCACATAGATATATGGTAAATGGTTGAAACCTGAGAAAGAGCTTCTGGTTTCATTACACTAATCTACCACCCTGCTTGCTAGGGAAGCAATTAGTGGAAGAAATTAGTGATGTCCAATTTTAATGCCAGTTTATGAAATTTTGTTCTTTTAAACAATATGTGAACCAACACTTTATTTACTTTCAAAATGTGTACATCTCCAGATTTTGCAATGAGGCTTTCTTTCCACTATAAAATGGACAAAAATGTTTATATTACAGGGAACTGCATACAAAATGTGTGTATTAGTGAAAATGTTGTTTGAAATTGGTTAGGGTAAGAAAATTATGTGAAAAACATGTATATTAGTCCCAATTGCATCTCAAAAGGCATACATTAATAGAAATACAAAAATACACACAAGTTTTCATGTAAATTTGGAAAAGGTTGCAAAATTCAGAATGAAATGAATTTAAGAATGAAAACAACTTTTGCACACTACACTCACACATGATTCTTTGTTCCCTCCAGGTCCTTAGTGGAAGATAATAATTATTCCATATCTTAGGATCCTTTTGCTACTGGAAATTTTGTGATGAACAGTAGCTAGGCTATACTGTTCCTCTTGAGTTGTATGTTTTGCAAACTAAGCTTAAGATTTTTTTTCTTTAAAGAAAAAAGGAAATCCACACTTGTCTAGAAAAACGAAATGGAGAGAAATTGAACTGACAGACTGATCCAACAATCCAAAGTTATAGCTTGGAAATGTAATTAGAAAACAAACTTTTGAAACTAATCACATCCTTTGCTGTTCTTGTGACAAAGTGGAGTGAGAGAATGTCTTCAGGATACCAGATGTGTGAGGAACAAGCCATGGGGTGGGGGCACACTCAGTGAATTTATGTTACATTAATTAGTGCAGTTATGCTTCCCAATTGTCTTGTGCTAGTGAAGCACTTAATTTTATGAAAATTGATCCTTAATGAATTAGATGGGCATGATCTCTGGTCCTAAATTAGTTTCTCCCCTCAATGACTGCTACCCTGTGACAAGCCACACTGTTGGATTCAGATTGCCTGAGCCATTCTAATTTACCTAAGCAATTAGAAGTGGCAGACTCAGGCAATAATGCTGATGAATGACACCCTTCAGAAGCCCAGCCAGGGATACAATCAGCCCCATCCTTCCTAATCTGCCTCCGCTGCATCATCTTCAATTACTCCGTGGTTACTGTGCAGTATCATATAGGTTGGCCAGAAGAAAATATAGCACTTAATAAGAAAGTCAACATCTCAAGCAATCTGAGCTTCATAAGAAATGACCTTGTGAAAATGAACTCAGCTGAGCCACATAATGAAATGATGCCTAGGAGTTTATATAACTGACTGTCTAGGAAGCTAGAGCTACCTTGGATCCCATTTTGGTAGAAAGACAAAATATAAGTGTATTTAATAAATAAATAAAAATAATAGAATTTAAACACCTGTGTGTGAGAGTTGTGTGCCTTCAAGTCATTTGCAATTTATGGTGAGCCTAAGGCGAACCTATCATGGGGCTACCATGGCAAAATTTGTTTAGAGGAGGTTTGCCTTTGCCTTCCTCTGAGGCTGAGGGAGTGTGACTTGTCCAAGGTCAGCCAGTGGGTTTCATGGCCAAGCAGGGATCAAACCCTGGTCTCCAGAGTCATAGTCAAACATTCAAACCACTACGTCACACTGGCTCTCCATAGTATCTAGGAATCTATGTGTCTAAAAGAGGTCCTGCAACAAAATATTGTAGCATGGAATGCTGCTGTTCAGGATTCTACCTAAAGATTATTGCTCTATACACAGTAGGGCTTTTTCAATGGTGGTACCCCATTTTGGAGCTCCTTTGTATTAGAGATTCCACTTACTAACTTTTGTCTGTCAGATGATAGTTAAAATATTGGCTTAATCCTGTATGACAGTTACAAATGAATAACCTGGAATTATGCACTTGTGACTGTTATGTATTCACAGTCTCTACGTAGCCTCTTGTTTAGGAGCTATGTAGAGACTGTGAAAATCTCTCAGTCCTCACTTACCAGGCAGTAGCTGCTGCAACTAATGGGGGTCCATTCCCCTGTTGTTTAGGAAGCAGCTGGCTGCCATTCCCATCCCCTTGAGCAAGTGATCTCTAGCCCAAGGGGGAATTGTGACAGGGACCTTGTTTCTGCCTGTCACAATGGGGAACGCTCATGATAGGAATGGAAATGGCAGCCAGCTGCTTCCTGATCAACAGGAGAACAGAGCTCTTTTGATCACAATGGTTGCTGTGTGGTAAGTGGGAGTTGGGATGGTTGCACCAGAATGCATTGTGTAGCACCTTAACTGCAGTGTTTACCTATACATAAAAACCATACAGGATTGCAGCCATATTTCTGCAAGTTTCCAAGAACTAAGGGAATGTTTATTTTGTCTTCTATTGCTGCTGGTTGGTATTGCTATGGATTCCCTATTGGGAGAAATGAGGAATATGAATTGCAGAAATAACAACAACAACAACAACAACATTTATACTCCACCCCTCTGTCAAACAATCAGGGCGGCTTACAACAATTAAAATTCTATACAATATCACCTGTCTCAAGATACACTCTAAAATCCCAAAACCCACTCACTGCTTAAAAAAGTATTAAACCAGATATCCATTAAAACAACTTAAAATAAAACATCAGAAATAAAATAAACAGATTAGAACAAACAGCAGCACAAGCAAGGACAGCAACAATAGGAAGGTAGAATGAATAGACTCCTAAGGCCGGGAATTTTAGTCAGGAAAGACCTGCCAAAAGAGATCCGTCTTCACAGCATTTTTGAAGCTGCTTAAACTCGTAATCTCATGGATCTCGTCCAGCAGGCCATTCCATAGTCTGAGAGCAGTTACCGAAAAGGCCCTCTGGGAGGTTGCAAATAGCCTAGATTTCATTAGCTGTAGCAAACTTCTCCCAGAGGACCAGAGGGCATGGGGAGGATTGTATGGGAGGAGGCAGTCCCAAAGATAGGTTGGACCCAAGCCATTTAGGGCTTTAAAGGTCATAACCAACACCTTATACTGGGCCTGGAAACTAATAGACAGCCAGCGAAGAGACTTCAATACCAGTGTTATGTGGTCTCTCCTAGATGTCCCCGAGACCACTCTGGCTGCCATGTTCTGTACCAACTGAAGTTTCCAGACCAAGCACGAGGGTAGCCCCATGTAGAGCGCAAAAACAATTATTGTACTTTAGCAAATATTTGTTAATTTAGCTGTCTGTATTTTTACACATTGTTTTTAATGTGTTTTTTAAATTATTATAAGTAAACAACTATGTACAAAACACGTCACAACAATAAAGCAAAATAAAACAATTCATCTCACAACTTTGAATTATGTTGCGGGTCTCCTTCTTGGGTTCTGTTCAATGTAAGTGGTCATTTTAAAGTCTAGTGCTGTCTTTGTGTAAATCTAGCCCAGAATGTCCAACCAAAGGTTTACATGAGCTGAAGGTTGTCTTCTCTTGTTTCTCTCTTTGTTTACAAAGTCAATGAGTGGGTACTATTTGTCTGTGAAAGTTCCTGATTTTGGTTGTCCTGTGTAACTTGCCATTCTGTCAGATAGTTTTTTGAGTAACCATAGGTCCCATACCTTTTTCCACCACATAGCTAAAGATATCTCCCCTGTTTTCCAACATCTGGCAATTTCTACATGGGCTGCTGTAATGAAGAAATCTATGAAGTTTTTATGTTTCAAATTTTAGTTTGTGTCCACATATATTGATAATAAAAGCATTTCTGGACATAACATTACTTCTTGGTTGGTAATCAATGAAATTTGTTCAATTGCCAAAATGTGTTTATTTTGGGACAGTCTAGCCACATGTGTAGAAATGTGCCATTATCATTATAAGCACACCAACATTTGGAAGAACCATTTTTAACCATTCTGGCTAGCTTAACTGGAGTCAAATACCACCTGTATATAATTTTCAAGGCATTTTCTCTAATCAGTGCTGATCTGGATTTAAAAGGGGTAGAAGACCAAACTGTAGTCCATTTTGAAATGGGAATTGAAAGATTCAAATCCATTTCCCAGGTTAGTTCTATGCCACAGACATTTTGGTAAGAGTGGTCAATCAAACAGTTGTAAAGATGTTAGTCCTTTGGTGCTTTCGGAGGGAAGAACACACTGTGCCTCAAATAAGGTAAGTGATCTAGATGGTCCAATTTCCTTTAATTTGGGTGTAAAAGCAATTATCTGATGGGGGTGAAACCAATTAGCCTTTAATGGCTCTAAATCTAAAGGTAGTTCATCAATTGTTTTTGGTCTGCCATTGCAAAAAAGGTCTCGGACAAAATATACACCTTGTTCCCATCCCTGGAATTGATTGAATTTATCAGGGGAATAGAAAGATTTGTGGGCCGGGAAGAGGCAAATAGGAGAGGGATTTGGTGACAGAACTTGCGTCCATCTTGACCATGTCTTTACTGACGTTTGCAGCAATGATTTTTAATGTCTTTAATAACTTGCAGAGTGGGTTTGTTAAAGAACAAAGCAAGATTGATTGATGGTAGGTCGTTCATTTCCATGTTAATCCAGTGTAAGTTCTGCTCTTTTTTAATTAAATGAGGGATTTGACTAAGTTGGAATGCTGCAAAATATAGTTCAAGATCAGGCATTGCTAGCCCCCCTTTTTTTGTAGTAGAGGTGTCATGTGGGTTTGCTGAATCTGTGCCTCTTATGTTAAAAGCAAATGTATTGATGAGATTTTGCCAGTCTGAGTTTTGTCTGCGGTGGTTGAAGCAGGATAGTTTGAAATAGTAAGGATAGGTGAGGGACAAACATTTTAATGAGGGGTATTCTGCCTGGAATAGAGAATTTCAATCTCTTCCATTCTAATGTTTTAGAGATTGACCATTTAGTTATTTTGTTGTGGTTTCTGGGGATTATCTGATTGAAATCTTTTATAATGGTGTTTCCTAGGTAAATACATCCTGAGGGTGTTAACTGGAGATTGGT